AAACTATCTGAACACAATTATATATTATGTAATGATATATTGATCATATCGATGCTGTATCAGCTGAAACCTCCAGTCTAACATAACTGTTAGAAAGGAAATTGTCGGCCGGGTGCCGTAATTTATAGAGGTGCCTGGTATTTTTACCCAGAATATAAAACCCTGCAATGTATACAATACTAAGCAGTAAAAAACTGGTGGCCAACGTCCGAGTCTCAGTCATTTGCGTCCTCAAAAAGTAACAAATAATAGTCTTGCAAAACCACTAATAATTAATCTTCTCTCTCTCTATGGTCTGGGCAGGTGAATCAAGAAATTGCTCTGTCGGCATGTGTTTATACTGGGCCAGCTCCAGAGCAAGTCGTAAAAAGGAAGCGCCGAGCAACTAAAATTCACCTCAAGAAGGGCTAAACTCCCAGCTGCGCGGGTAAGAACATGCACCATCTGCACTAGGCTAGTTAGCGTAGACTGCTATCCGCTATAGCCGATGCGCTTCGTGTAATATTTAACACTAATACGCGATACACAGTAACTAAAAAGCGAGGTATTTCGTTTTTTCCTATATAGAAACGACTTTCACAAAGAAATACTAAATTTCCATAATGATCTATAGGGCTCATTAGTTTTAAGAGGGTTTTACAGTGAGCAGTAGAAGACAATGAGGACAGTAGGTATCCGCTTTTTGTAGCTTGCGTGATGGGGGATTGACGTCATTATCGGGCTTTTTCCCGCCTTTGAAAGTTGGGGCCGTGCGTCGGTGACTTGTAAGGCGGGAGACAATGTTTCTGACGGATTTTTTTTCTTTTCTTAACGCAAGACATCTGTTTTAACTATTCTCTTGAAAATTATGTGTGCAAATTGCTTTTTCTTAATTTAAGAGTCTTTGTCGGGTTTATTTTTGACATTTGCGAATACTATTGAACGACAATATTAAGTTTTAATTTCCTTTTCACTTCCACCTTTCCTCCATTCAAATTTCTTACCGTTTTTATTATAATGACAAACTATACTCTATTATGATATTAACATCTCAATTTTATTAGTATGATTCATTTGTAACTGCATTCAATTTTTAATACAATTCTCCCAAATCACAAGGTATGTTTGTGTGAAGTTGATCATTATGAGATCTTCAGTGCAATGTCGARGTAAAGCCATATGTTTGTTGTTGCTAATATTTTGCAGCGCACTTTGCAAAAATAGAGCTACTGTAAATCCCGATATCAACTAATCCTCAAATCTGCCATATTATGCTCTATGATACGAWTTTACTGTCATAAGGTCGACAATATGACTGGTGAACTACCCAGATTCCTTTAAAGAAATTCAGTTGCCACGAGTAACAACTAATATCGTGGTCTGACTGGCAGCAAACTTGCAAATTTATCCATTATTTGCAAATGCCTGTTCAGTTGGAAACGTAAATATGAAAAATCTAGAAACAATAAACAGAAACAGCTTTTATCCCACTTAGTTATTAGGATATTCAGTTTCGACTTTGTATTGCTTTTTGTGAAAATGTTAATTGCAGTGTTTTTCTCAGTGACGTCATTTCATTTATGATTAATTTATAATTTCGTCAATAACCTTCTCCTGGTGTGGTATATGTTGTCATTTCTTTGCTGTCACTGAAAAATATATACTCACCAGATAAAGAATATACTTGTCATGTTTTTTTTTACCGGGTATTATTCATAATATTAGTTTGTGAAGATTCGCACGTCTGCGGTATCCGAAAACATTTTTTTGGTTATTTACCTTTCAGTTACCGTCTTTGCTTGAGTCCAACCTTAATCGCTGTTTAATCCATCGGTAACGTGTCAGAGTCTTTTAGTTATTTGTTCTTTTTATTTTCTCTTTCCTTTTTGATTTGCTGCCTTTGTGCTGCTTATACTATTACAATGCATTCGTATGATTGATATTTTTTATATCTCTTTTCATGTAGGCATATGGTAGTGTTTTTTTAATCCTTTTATTTCCCTTTTTTCGTTATTTTCTTGTTATCTATCTCGTTCTTCAGGAATTTCTACTCAYTGATTCACTTTTACGATTTTTATCATTTCTTCACTCAGTCCATGACATCATCGGTCTTGCTGTACTGACAAATGATTTTTTAGGCTTGAATGAAAATTTCCCGGATTCACTGTTTACATTCGAGTGGAGCATTTATGCCTAAAGTCAYACACAATATCTCAGAAAAACTCGTAAAGATAGCGGCATTAAAGAACGTAAAAAGGTCAATCCAGTCTTTCAAATCGGAACGGCAACCAATCGAGTGCAGGGTTGCTGAACGCGAAGCTGTCAATCAAGTTAAACAATTGGTTGTCAGGTTCAGTACAGAGACCTTGTAGGTTTTGATCAACAATCGATCGACGACTGAATCATGCTGGTCATTTGAACGGTCCCAGATCAGACGTTATGGCAAATTGCTGTACAAAAAACGAACAAACAGACAATTGTACAATAACTCTAGAGGATGATAGTGCTGGGCATCGAATAGAGAACTGGCTAGATGAACATCCCGAGTTCGTTCAATCTTACTTTACGAGGAAAGCAAATCGAACCTTGATTGATTCATGGTTGCACTCACGATCTCATGTACGGACTCCCAGTGGAACTCCACCGCCTTCTGGCAGTTCAACTCCTGCCAGAAAGATTTCGGCTTCTGAATTTGAAGGTCGAGGGATTCTGAAACCTTTATTAAGTGTTGTGGATGGGCAGCCTAGTTTTCTATCGCCTAGTGAGCCTCTAAGAGCTCGATCACCTCATAGGAACAGAAAATCTCGCTTGGAGCTTCAGCAACTTGATGAGAAAGAAGTCTTAATGGAACTTGTTAAGGATATAGCCAACGATTTAGATGTTCAAAGTCTTTGTCATAAAATTCTACAAAATGTTAGTTTACTTGTTAATGGCGACCGTTGTTCGCTTTTCCTCGTTCAAGGCCCCAGAGAAGGGCCTCGCTATTTGGTGTCAAAAGTATTTGACGTAAATGCCGAATCTAAACTTGAAGACGTTCAAGAGTTAGAGGAAATTCGGATACCTTTAGGTACTGGAATTGTAGGTTATGTGGCGGAAACTGGAGAAACGGTCAACATAGCAGATGCATACGAGGTGAGTGAAACGGGGTTTATTTTTGAGTGGAGGCCGTTGTTGCTGACAGCAAAGGCAAAACAAATTACAATTTCCGTTTTTTAATGCAAATTTATTTATCACGTAAGACTTTTTCCGACTCTATATAACACTAAGTGTTCTTTGAAAAGTAGAACAAAACTTCTTATTGGCATCACTTATTTRTGCGATACAAGTCGTCTGCAATGCAGAATTTGAGGAATTGCCCTTACTCAACTTCACCAGCAAGTGAGGTCACTTTCGTATAAGGTTGYCGCATAAATCGATTAAATCTTTGTTCYCGCATCTCTCTTGTTGGTATTTTCAACTTGTGACCATGCAAAGCGGTAGCGAACACGATTCTTTTTACTCTTAGCGCCATGAAGACATCAAATTACTTTCTGCAAATCACGTAGTCCATAGAGCTCTAAGACCTCCTAATTTGCAAAGTGTCACTACAACACGTAGGTTTCCCTGAATGTTAAATTCTTCGAATGCACATTATTATTTTGCTTTAAATCTGCCTAGCTAGTTCCCTAAAAGTACGTAAGTTAATTATGTTTTTGAATAAATTTAAGATTACGAGGAATAAAACTTTGAGTGAAAGCAGCCTGTTCCTTGCTCTCCTCCTAAAAGGTTGTTTCCCCTGTATGCTTACATTTCTGTTAGTACATTCAGGAAAATAGCTCATAAACATTTTAAATCTGTGACTTTCTGATTTTCCAAGCCGAAGAGTCGCTTTAGCAAACGAATCTKAACTTTGCTATTGTTTGTTGTGGACAGTAGGGACTCTGAATTTCAACAGTGCTGACTACGTCCACAATATTGTTATTATCGCAACCATCGCACCTTATGTGGCCTCGGTCCTGGGGATTTTCTGGCAGACATCGTCTTTTTACTTTTATCTTTTTATTCTAAAGACTTCTAAATTCCAATCGAACTTCCATTCCATATGCAATTTAATTGACATTTTACATGCGTGCCGCAAGGAAAGATAATACCCGGCCGTAGTATGTTATTTATGTATTTTGAATGTTGATGGTTGCGCTCCGCTAGGAGCTTCATATCAGCATGACCCAATATAAAAACACTGTTCCAGTCTAAACGCTACTTTAGAGCACAGTGCTGATTCATTTAAGCCTGAAGCATCCTAAGTACTAGAAAAATGTTCGGTTAGACAGTGTTAATAACGTAGTGTTTACCATCTGCAACAAACACATTCTTCTCCATTCTAGCAATTATTCAGTTTCTGGCCACTCCAGAGTCTTTTCATAATATTTTTGAATCATTATTCTATCCAACAGTGTTTAGACTTAATTGATTCGGTCTTTTGGATCGGGAATTCAAGATTTTGACAACATTATAAAGTTTGATGGACAAGATGTACAAAAGAATGTATGCACAAAATCAACAATGGATGATTTTAGCAATTGACTTTGGAGACAGTGTACTTTTAAAAYTGTTATTTGTGACCCCAGAGTTGTGTATTTTGAGCTTGAAAACAAAAAAATCATCTCCCCCTTTAAAAGGTCCAATGTTGAATCTTCGACATGTTCAAAGCTAAACCCATTTTAATGAATCCAACATAAATTGGTTTTCTATAGGTCAGCAAATTAATCTTATTCTACACACATCAATCAAACAGCGATGGATGCTTTTAAACTCTCCTTCTTCTTGTACTTATAGAAATTATAATGAACTTTTCTCAGTCCTTCTCCATAACACTTTTATGACTCTCAATACATCCTCTCAGTAAGCACTAATGCTTATAAAATACTCACTGTTCATTTGAATATCTAAGTGTTTATCCCTGACAAGCAGTAGCAGCGATTGCTTKTGAGCTTTGAAGACATTTTTAAACATCCAGATGCAAAATAAATGGAAACTGTTATTTAAAATCTTACAAATAAGACCAATTTCAAAATTCATATCATGCTGAAAAGGGTCATATCCTAAGGATCTCTTACTTCTTGATACAGTTGCAAAATATAGTGTTTTGGCTCTATCATGAATGTAGAATGATTTTGATAATAGGCCGTGACAGCAAAATTGTTACATCTCAGTGATTCAGACAAACAAAAATTTGTGTTGTGAAATCCCTCATGAGAGCATCACTCTGTAGTTTATTAGTCTGACATGRTGAGAAGATTCTCTGGTTGCTATGGTATCAACATCTCTTGTCATGRGAAATCTGAGTAGGAATCCAGAATGAATTCATTAACATAGTAAAGAACTACGATTACTTAATGATAATCCCCTGCTTGAATAACAATATTTCCCATCATATAATTATTACAATCATGATTTCATATTTTCACTCAATGATTTCATATTTTGATCAGCAATGTAATGAAGTAAAAGTGAACATGATGTAATATTGTAATTCAGCTGTTTTTTGAGGTTTTGATATTTCATATATCACTGTTCTATATATTAGTGTTTTTTTTTAGGAATCGTAAATCATAACAGGAAGAAGTCTGTACTGTTTGTACAYTTTTTGAAGAGGTTCCTCCAAGCACATGTTTTTCCTATCTATAACTGGGGGACTTGGATTCATAATAAAACTTGGATATGTTTCTCCCTGGTGTATGCTTTTGACATTGTTTACCTTTAAGCCAACACAGTATTATTAGCAGCTGCCTCCTTTAAAATGCCCCATAACACTTTTCATGTAAAGATTATGAAAGCTTAAAATGTAACCATGAAAACCATTTAAATTTTCACAGAAAATTGAATCGTGTGAAGTTTGAATGAAAGCAATGAATTGGCATGGCTTCATTTCCAATAATATATACCGGTAGAAATAATATTGAGATAATTTGTGTAATGTATCTTTTGAAATTAGAGAAAAAGTGGAAATTATAGCCACAAATRTGCCATTTTATGAGTTCCTCATTTTGTGTACATTTCTAGTGATTTGTTGTGTGTGTAATTTGGTTTTTCTGTACTCTCAAGTCATTTARATTGATGGAACAGATAGCAGAAACATGCTACAGTGTATGTGGCTATTGACTTTATACCAAAACTCTATTCTTTTTCATGGTGATAATAAATTAGGGAGGAAGTCCCACTGTCCACTTGTATGAGATTAATTACACAATTCACATGAAAAATGTTCCTTTATTTATTTTTTATTAACCATTTGTTGCAAAGGGCWGGACTTGATTTTACTCCATTCTGAGTGGTGCTATACTAGGGTTTCTTATAGACAGGAACAATAATCTTCAAAACTGTCAGCATGTCATTTTGTAATAGGTGTATTTAATCAGTTGGCATTTAAGTGAAATATAGGCCCCTCTAGATGTGTTTCACATTGGGTATTCTCTTGCAAATACTGTCGTGGAAAAGAGTAATTATCTGAAGGATTTGACAGTATCTTTGTAGCTGGTTTAGTGTTTATGCAAAAGGATGATAAAAAACACTCATACGATTCCTATGCAAACACTGCATATTTACCATTTGMTCTGACAGGTATATGAATACCAAATATGAATTGTCGCTTCTTCCGTCTTGGTCTTCATGTTTAGTAGACTCTAATGCATATTACTGTAGTGATAATGTGATAAACTACAATCATTATTTACTGTTGTAAATTTATTGCTATTTTCTATTATTTATTTTTATTATTACTATTATCTTGATATATATATCACTTTCTGAGAGTATGATTAAGTCRTTCTCATCATTTCTCCAGTTATGTGTTTATAAATATATTATAGGCTTTTAGGAGTCATAAACGTAAAGWAGGCCAATATACATATCTGATATATTACAATGTGGCACATTCTTGAATTAGATATTGATTTTTTGGGTGCACATTTTACAATTCAATTCGTTTTTGAATCTTATGGTTGCTTATGACAATGGTTTTACTGGGCAACCTTTTAGTRATAGGTTAGTGATCTTTTTCTGATCTTATCCAATTAAGATGTGTGACAGCTCTTCAACATTATGTAAAATGCTTTTTTTAAGATTTCCATGATTTAGCCGAGAGGTTTCTGTGTAACTTTCCAGTAAAAAAAAAAGACATGATAGTTTCAATTTACAATTACAGCACTTCACTAGGCTTCATGATTTTGTATTGATTAACAGTTTTGAAACCTACTGTGTCAGGAAATACTAGCCTATGCTTATAACTTGGTTTCTCTGTTTAAACTTTAAAGCAGGCTTTTTGTGATTTGAGATATTCAATGATTTGAGATTCTGCATGATCTTAAGATATTCCATGATTTGAGATTCTGTGTGATCTGAGATATTCCGCGATTTGAGATTCTGCATGATCTGAGGTATTCAATGATACAATTTTTAAAAGTTGGTTTAAAAGTTGCAAATAAGAATATTACTTGATATTTCCTCTCAGATTTTATTAGTAATTAATTGGTAATAAACTTCACTACTTTGCTATCAAGAAAAATGAGTTCAAATTAAAGAAAGTAAAAATTAATTAGCAAAATATTTTTCTTGCTGTAGCTGGAGGTCATTAGTTTTCCATAACATCACAATTATTTTGAAGTTATGATAGTTTTATCGAAATGTTTTTGATAAAGTACATCTGATAGTTTTCCTCTCATTTTGCAAATCTTCAATTGCTATCAGTAATCTGTAAAAAATGAAAATATTATTTATGTAGCTTCATTCATTAATAGAAAATCATTTCTTATGGAAGAAATACAAACTGTAAACAAACTCCATTGAAACTGTGTAGCTATAATAAGAGAATTGTTTGAAATAATGTTATGAATATGAATGACAGAGAWGCAGTCATATCATGTAAATTGATACAGTGTTTCTATTGCTCAGCATGCAGCTGGTATCAAACTAATGTTAATGATGTTTTTATGTCGATAGCAATAAAAATAATAGCAATGATGATCCATGACAATTTATCCATTTTTCATTTTATTTACAKGTTTAATTTTTGAACACACCTAAGAATGATCTCATAAGAAATTGTATTGCAATCATTTTGCAAATGGGAATTAGCTAGAAAAAATAATAACAACAAAAACAACAAAAAAACAAAAACAAAAGAAATTTACTCAAGCTGAACCTGTTCCTTTTTTGCTATTTTTTTGTGATGTTTATTTATTACTATATGGTATTTTTTATGTGTGTTTATTTTTCTATTTTTATTTGCTCATTTGGTATAATGATATTTATACTGCTAAAAGAGATATATTTCAGCTATAAATAGTATGGATTATGATAGCAATTTAGACCTATTTCATATAATTTTGTCTTTTGTTGAAATTTTGTTGAAATTCCAAAAATCATTATTGTATTGAAATTGTATTGTATTGAAATTCCAAAAATCATTATTGTGTACCTTTAGATTTAGAGTAAATTAAAAACCTGTATATTTTCATGGTTTTGCTAGTAACAAGTTACCAAACATTCAAAAATTTAAATTCTTTATGGTAACGAGGTATGTGCAACGTGACCAATATCTTCACAAATAATTAAAATTTAACCACCTTAAATTAATATATTGAATGTGTTATTCATATCCGTGCCAAGTTTAACAGGGATTTTTGGCACCATTTATATTTTTTCAATTTTCCTGAATGTGGCATAGTCACAATTAAGGACAAAGGCGATAAGTAATGACTCAACCTATGGGTGGAATAATAATTAATTGATTAAATTACCTTGGTACACCATTAAAAAAATGAAATTCAAATTATTCAAAGTCCCATGGTGAACCTGAAGCTCAATGAAAAAGTGTTATTTTTGCACATGRTGTGCCAAAGTTTAACTTTATTTATTAATTAGTCACTAATTATATGCGATTTCAGGGTATATTCATTAAATCTAAAACAAAACTATATACATGAGATAATAACTATGATTAGTTGCCTGTATCTGTAAAATTATTATTAATAGTTATTCAAATTCTTATATTGTTCTTACAAATGATTTTAACAAAACACTTTCCTGGACATTTATAAACTATATTGTTTTGCATTAGAGTTTTGTTGAAAAACGTTTTTTGACACCTTTGGAGTTCTTTGTATAAAGTTTGTTTTTTAAAAACCTTGCTAATGAGAAAAAAGCTCATGAATAATACATTTAGGGAGCATGTGTTTGTTCAAAGTGTTTTAGATTTTATTTTCTGAGGTAAAGATCATTATCAAGCTAACTATACATAAAAAGCACAAAACAAAATAAACTTCAATTCTTTGTTTAGTCTATTAACTATTACATAAAGCTCTATATTTCACTATTCAAAGAATTTGGTTGGGGTTATGAAATTTTTAAAATTGGAGTTGAGTGGATAAATAAGAAATTTAAAAATGAGATAGTGGTAACCTTGGTAAATAAGAGGGCGTATGAGGTCACAAGAAAATATAAATTTTTACCATTGCATGTTTTCATTAAAACAAATTCAAGATCAAGAACAAATTTTGAAATTCACAAGTTTTGGTTAATATTAATTTTCTTGCTTTCTGACTGGCTGCATAAATTTACAAAAAATTAAGAAAGAAAAGAAAAGAAAAAAGCTGAGAGAAAGCTCACATGGTCAGAAATTGAGAAAATTTATCATAATAAATTATTGTGGTAAAAAGTRTTWGTTTGTTTGTAATCTTAAATTAACAAATATTTCTTTGTTTCTTTGTTATTTTTTTTTTCTGATGTGATTAATTAAAAAAAATAATTGATGGTGATCGCTTTATAGCAGTGTTRTTCAAATCAAACCATCATATTACCTATACTATATCACTAGCCTATAATTACCAAGAGACACAGGAATATAATAATTATCTAAACTCATTATAGTTGTGTTGATTTGTTTTTTCCTAGCAATAAGTCCTAATAAATGGATTAAGATAAGCCTTAAATGAGTTTCCCAGGCAACTACAGCCAATTACCTACACCTATACTGTCATTATACTGTTTTATGGCACATTGTTAAAGAGGATTAGGCTCATTTATTCATGAATGTGATTGYTTATGACCTCATTCCAGAAATAAACTAATAGTTGTCCTTGTAATGGAAAATAGATTCGTCTGGGTCAGTGTGAATTCCAGAAATACCATTGTATACTAAAACAGTTGTAGAAGTGAAGATTTTCACATTGCATGTAAAAGTTAAGAACTCCACTTTTTTGAYCCATTGTTTTTTCACAACATACATCATGGATTTACATAAACTAATGGTGAATGAATAATTCCATAAATTACTTCTCAAAAGTAGTATTTAGGTGGCATTATGATGACATTTGTTATGAGAATATTAGTTATAGGGAACACCAAAAATATACTTGTCTTATCTAGAGTGAATGTTCAAAGAGACATATCAATGATCAAAATATGATTGTTGTCTCAAAATAGATGCTTGAGAGAGTGAGAAGGTCAGAGTATGTCAAGTGGCTGTTTATTAGGTATTACTCCATGATTAAGGCTTTTCCTGCCACACATACCACACCAGATGTTGCCAAGAATCTGCCTTCTCAATTGCTCTAGATAATCTACTTTACCTTAWCTGTGCTAGGAATTCTGGAATATTTTATTTTGTATTTCAGGATGCAAGATTTAATAAAGAAATTGACAAGAAAACGGGTTATAAAACCAAAAGTATTCTATGTATGCCAATTAGTAATCACGACGGAGAGGTATGTAACATTCATTAATCCTGATCAGATTCTCATTTCTCCTKAAAAACGATTTCAAAACTGTGAGGTTAGGAGAATCTGGATATCAACCAGTATGAAATAATTTATGTTACTTTGACTTTCAGATATCTTATGTGAGTTAATAATTGCATAATTTATAGATTCTGTTTAGAAAGAGSAAAATGCACTTTTTTCATACTTATGTTATTGATCATTTTTACTACAAATTGACTTTTAATTACATCCTTAGGACATGCATTTGTCAGCAGTGAATCATTTTATCAAAACATCTAGACTAGTCTGGGTTTTAAAACTGCTGCTTTTTTATATCTTGAGATGAGGGTTTTTGCCTAATGGGATTTAAAAGTTAATCCCTGAAACACTTTCCTTGTGGAATACCTTTACATCTTTTTAAGATACATGGACTAATACCAAAAGACAGACAATTCAACATACCATATAAATCAGATATCTTTGGTGCATTTTMTCAAGAATTCCAGTTAATTTATGTATTTTCAACTCAATTTAAAAATTGTMAGTGAAAAAACCTCAGGCTATTATATTAGTCTGGGGTTATATCACACCAGGGAACTAATGCCTTAAACAAGATGTTACTAAAATCCATTCAGGTGGAAACTGCAAGTATTTGTATTGATTGTAGCATTGTGGAAGCATTTCGATGTCCTTTTTTCTTCTTCTCGTTCATCTGGTAGAAATATTCATACATCGTGTTGAATGCTTTAAAGTGTTTGTTGTTGTTGTTTATTTATTTATTTATTATTTGTTTCATTATTTCGTTATTTGTTTGTTGTTGTTTTTTAATTGTCGTGTTGAGCTCTGGTTTGTTGTGCCTGTCTTAAGTAAAGCTSTCAGCAGAAGACAGAAAATGAGTAAGTGTTGCACAGAATGAATCATAGTATTAATATGATATAGGTCATGGGAGTAGCACAAGTTATTAACAAAACAGGCAATGATGCTAAACAAGCCTTCACACAAGAAGATGAAAAGGTAAAAAACTTAGTTTCTTTGTTATACTTTCTTACTTTCTAAGTTCCTTTCTTCTCTTGAAAATCTCTCTCTACTTCTCTTCTTCTTGTCATTCTTCCTTGCATTCATTTCTTTAATTTTTTGTCTTATTTTTTTCCCTTTTGATTTCACCCATTTTTCATCTATTTCATTCTATTTCATATCTCATTTTCATCTCTCAAGGATATTTGTTATACACTTCTAATCGCAGAAAAAWTAAATTATATTTTGTTCTCCAGATTTTTCACAAATATTTAGTATTCTGTGGTATTGGAATTAATAATGCAGAACTATATGAAAGAGCACAATTAGAAATTAGAAGAAACCAGGTAAAATAAACCTCAGCGATKTTTTTAATGCATTCCCTTTTAAAGTATAAAACAATCTTAATATTTGATACCTTACTAATTCAGTGCTTTCAGTAGCTTTTAGAGTGAGGGTCTGCTAGTTAATCAGTTTTAATTACTGTCATGTATTATACTTGATAATTAAAGTTTATTGTTGTGTTTAGTTGTGTAGTGTTGTATTGTGTTGTGTTTAGTTTCGTGTGTTGCATTGTGTTGTGTTGTGTTGTGTTATATTAATAGTAATATATTATTATTCAAGTGTTTTTAAAACAATTGATTTTTATTTTGTTTTGTTTTGTTTTTAGGTTCTATTAGACTTAGCAAGGACAATATTTGAAGAGCAGACATCACTACATAACATTGTTCACAAGATCATGATGATAACACAAACATTGCTACAGTGTGAAAGATGTTCAGTRTTACTTGTCGATCCCTCTTCAAAGGTACTTTTCAATTTCTGTGAATCAACACTCCTAAATGGCATTAACCTTTAAATGTTGGTTTGTTCTTTCAGACTTTATTCTCTCAAGCATTTGATTTAGAAGCTAAAGACTATGTACAGAATGA